AACATCTGAAATATAGTTATAATAACTATTTCAGCATTCTTGTCTGCTAATTCTGGCATCTGTCAGTTTTGGGTCAGTTTCAATTGATTGATTTTTCTCCTCATTAAGGGTCATGCTTTCCTGCCTCTTTGTATGTCTGATAATCTTTAATTGGATGTCAGACATTGTGAATTTTTTCTTGTTTGGTGCTTGATATTTGTATTCTTGAGCTCTGTTCTGTCATGCAGTTAGGTTACTTGGAAATAGTTTGATCCTTTTGAAGTTTACTTTTAAGGTTGGTTGGGCAGGCCTGGAGCATTGCTCAACCTAGGGCCACTTATTCTCCATTTCTGAGACAGAACCTTTCTTTGTTCCCTATGCAATGCCTGTGAGAGATCAGTCTCACTGCTGGGAATAGCTGATTATACTGAACCAAAACTTGCAGGGGAGCCTCTGAAGATCTCCAGAGTTCTCTGTCCATGCATCTGTCTCTTCCCTGGTAATCTATCTAGGGACTTCTAGCTGTCCCAGTCTCCCTGGACTCTCAGTAATTTCTCTTCAATCCAAGGAGTCCTCCTGGATATTTTCCCCCTATTCCATGACCTAGAAACTAGCAACAGGGTTCACTTTATGTATATCCATGTCTCATGGATCACTGTCCTTTGTTGCCAGATGTCCAATGTCTTGAAAACTTTTGTTTCATATATTTTGCCCATCTGGGGGCTGTTTTAAACAGGAGTATATATTAAGTACCTGTTACTTCATCTTGGCCAAAAGTGAAATGCATCTTAAACAGCCCCTCAGGTATGGCCAGATGAATATTTTGTCACTCTTGGGAATCTCAGTAAGTCTTGGTAAGGACTGGGAGACAATAGCTCTACTGGTCACAGAACACCTGAGGCTCATTCCTGGGTATTCTTTGCTACTTTTTCACCTTGAAACTTCCACGGTGTTCACTTTAATGAAATTTCACTTAAGTGAAAATACGTCTGTGGAGAGAACTAATTCATGCACACTCTCTCGAGCCTTGTGTTTATCCCGGAGACCCTCCCCTGGTACCAGAACTTAGGGACTATGCCTCGCTGCTCCCTTTCAGTCTCCAGAGGACCCCACTGATTCACCCTCACCCTCACAAGCTTGGATCTGAGGCTGTAGGCAGCCAGACCCAGTGATGGTGGGGATTACTATTAAGTCAGAGTAATGCTTTCTAAGGCCTGAGCACATCTTCATAGGGAACATCTCACAAGTGGGGACCAGACCATAATAAGGTCTGTTGAGTTCCCTACATTGCATTTCAGAAGTATCTGTCCCTCTAGGAGTCTCTTGTGACCCTGCCATACCTTAGTCACCAGTCTAGAGGCCTTTCCACTCTGGGCTTGCATGTTGGGAAATCAGGTAAAAGGTAACCATATATACTGCTTTGAGGCAGAGCACAGTCCAGTGGTCCCTCCCCAGGTGTCTTCTTATCTCAGGTTATCACACTGGGTCTCTGCCTATCCGGATGTAATGATTATCCTACTAATGTCAGTAGCAAGCTAGAACAAGGAGTGGACAGACAACCTGACCTTGGACAGGAGCCACATTCAGTAGCTGTATTCATTAAAAGTTGAAAGAAATTAAACACATTTTATTTCTAAGTAGACATTAATATATGTTCAATTTATCAAACCAAATGGAACTGACAAGTGTGGGTGTGAGATGTCCACTTTTCCCTTTCATAGGAGAAATCTGTTTTATTTTTAGGAACATGCTATTTTTTCTGCTTTTAGACAGTATTTTTTTCTACATGTTTATTACCCAACTCCCCTTCTGCTCTAGCCAGTCCAGGTGCAAATGGCAAGAGGAGCCAGGAAGGAAGGAAGGAAAACAGATCTCAAGTTTTTATTTCCCTGACACCACGGAGCACCTAATCCCTACCCTTAATCCCCATGGCTTCATAAGGAGGCTCAGACAAGCAGAGACTCGAGGAAAAGCACAAAGGAGGCAAAGTACGGCTGTGACCATCAGTGCAGAGGCTGGGCTGGCCCCAGGACAAGCCATGACTGCTCCTGCCCAGGAGAAAGCCAGAGACTGCGGGAGGCTGCTGTCTCCTAACCTTCTACCTCTGACCCCTCCTGCTCCTTCTTTCCAGGCCAGAAGGGCAACCAGACGTGGGATGGTCTTCCTGGGACAGGGAAGAGGGCAGGAAAAACAAACAAAAGCCAATTCTGGTGCCCAGAAAGGCAGAAGGGACCACGCTGGGAGTCTGTTTCTGAGTGTCTGCTCAGGCCACAGAGGGGAGTGTGTGTGCAGGGCACACAGCCTGTGCCTCTCAGGGGACCTGCTGGAGAGGGGGTTCAGAAGGGGCTGATGAGGTTGGACAGAAAAGCCAGGAAGCACAGAAAATTCTCATTTGTGACTGTCTACAATCAACAAAGCAGTGAGACAGATCCTTTAAAAACTTAAGTTAGATCATGGTACTCTTTAGCTCTAGAGCCTCCCATAGCCCTCCATCTCACTCCAAGTAAAACCCATATCCCGAGGATAGTCTGTAAAAGCTCGCTTCCTATGGCCCTCTGACCTCTCCTCCCATCCTTCCTTCCTCCCCCACTCTGCCCAGCCTCTCTGGCCCCTCACTGCTCTATGAACACATGAGGCACCCTGCTCAGGGCCACTGAATGTGTGTTTGTCTGGATGTTCCTTCCCCATGTTTCCATGGCTTGCTCTCTCGTCTTTTTCTAGCCTTTGTTCAAATGTTACCCACTCCCCCCATTTATTTATGCCTCCCTCAACCCCAGCACTCCCATCTCCCTTACTAGAATCTATTTTTTCCCACATCACTTATTGTAACCTGTTAGCACATTATATAATTCACTTACATATTAGGTTACTGTTTGACTCTCCAAACAAAGCAGCAAGGCAGAGTTTTGGAGGTTTTTGGGGGGGAGGGGAGGTGTCTGTTTGAGAACTGATTTACCTTCCCTGCCTAGAAGAGCACCCGGCACTTGATAGGTGTTTGAAAAATATTTGCCAGATGAGCTGACCAACTGAAACAGAGACTTTTCCATGGGGCAGGGAGTCTCAGCCCACACAGGGATTTTAAGCTCTGTTCAGGTATCTGAGTCTCTCAGCCAGATGGGGGCTGTGAGGCTTACGGCCAATGTGAGGAGTTTGTAAATGCCTGGGTCAGTAACTCCTTTTTATAAAAAAATTTTATTGTGGTAAGAACACTTAACAAGGGATCTACCCTATTAACAGATTTTTAATTGTTGTAATGCCTTGTTTATAGCCATGTAGTTCTGTGGGCTTGTAGTCCTGTAGGTACATAATTGGGGCAACAAAAACCCCCCAAAACTGGCTGATATGACTTCACTGAAATAGCCTGGGGATGTTAAGAAACCCAACCAAGTGACGGGTTATTACATAGGTAAGAAGTGCTCTGTCAGTTGGATTTCCGGCCTTGGCAGCATTCCTGCACTGCCCTCCCTCCTTCCTCTGTGAAAGCCAGTGGGTCGGTCTACCTAGCAGCTCCGGCACTGCTCCAACCAGGGCCCCTGAGGAGCGTGGGGCTGGACTGCTGTCTTGGGGCCCTTTACGCTGGATGTGAGGAGTGAGCAGTGCACAGCGTGCAGCCTCCGCCGGGAGCCAGAGACAAGCCCCAGGCACGCACACACATGCCCTTGCGCACAGCCGTGAGACGGGGCCGGGGAGGGCCAGGGGTCCCCATGACATGCTGTGGAGGCTGCGGCTCCTGAACACCTGGCCGAGGAGGAGACAGTGGAGACAGGCAGTGGGAGGGAATGAGCGGACTTCAGGTCCAGATGAGGTCAGAGGCAGGAGAGAAAGGTGACAGGACATGATCAACAGAAGATGCACCCTGCGCCCAGGGGCGCCAGATGGCATGTTTCAGGAGACATGACATGGAGAGAGACATGTGTGAGGAGCTCGGCATGAGCAAGCTCCACCTGGAAGAAGGAGGCCCTGTGCCCAGCCCAGCCTAGAACTTACCCACTCACGACCTATGCCCGGTGCTACAGGTGCCCACACAGGAGCACACGCGTGAGTGGCCGGGGATGACCATTAAACTAGGAGCTTGGGGAGCAGAAACAGTGCAACGCAGCTGTCCGGGGTGGCATTAGGCACCAGAGGAAGATAGTTCACAGAGTTAGAAACTGTTTTTCAGGATCTGTAAGGAATCTTAGGAATCTAACCCAACTTGCTGATGACTCAGCCGCACGTGGAGTCAGGAGGAAAGAGGGACTAGAACCCGGCCTCCTGGCTCCCACCACAGAGCAGGTTTCTGCTCTGTTTCTGTGCCCACTGGCTAGAGAGAGGGCAGATGAAGGGCTGGGAGGGGGGTCTCTGGCCCGCTCCTTCATGCGCTGGCTCCTTCCTCGGCTGCTGAAAGGAAAGTGGTCCTCAAGAGACAGCAGTGGGGATGCTGAGGGCAAAGGTCAACCCCTCCCCCAGGGGCTGGTCACATTGGGGGCTCCCGTGCCATGCTGAACCACATCAAAAAGAGTGAGGGGAAAGGGAGAGGTGAGAAAAAAGGGAGAGAGAGAGAAAAGGAAAGTCTGGACTCAAAGAAAAGTAACCTGCTTAGCCTCACAGAAAGGGCTGCAATAGGACTTTCAAAACATCAGACCTTGGGCCAGAAGCTCCAAGTCCTTTGCTCCTCAGTCACTGACTGTTTTACAAATGGGGGTGCTGAAGCCCAAGGAGCACCCATGCCTGGTGCAGAGCTACACAGAGCATTTTCTACTCATAGGGGCAGGAGTCTAGCAGCTCCCCAAACTCAAGCTGTTTCTACTGTGACACCAGGTCCCCCTGGCAGCCTGTCGCTCACAGGAGCATCAGGGAACCTCCTTGCAGAGAGGTGCAGGCCTGTCTCTCTCCCTCACCTCTTTTCTCACCACCACTGGGGAGGGAATTGTTGAGACAGACCTCCCACCCAAGGGAGAGATGGTTTCATGAAGAATCTCCTGCTGGAGGCTGGAAGGCCGGGCGTGGCTCAGCCCCAGCTCCTCACAGGAGACACTCACCATTCATCTGGGAGGGCGAGGAGGAGTAGTCCCGTTCCGTGTGCCGCCGGTCCGGTTTCAGGTTTCGGCTCTGTCTGCCAGAGCCTTCCAGCATGTTCACGATCTCACTCCGGTCAATGTTCCGCAGGGCGGTGTACAGGTTCTCCACTGCCGGGGAGAGGAAAAGAGGGCTTGTCGAGGGAATTCAGAATCAAAACCAATTGCCTCTTTGGAGAAGATGTTACCCTTCAACAGATCTTTTCCAATCCCTAACAGTGGCTGATTTCAAAGCATGGAAAGACTGTTGTCATCTAAGAAGAATGCTACAAGTAAAGGAGAGTGGGAATGCCTGGATTCCATCCTGTTGAAATCCTTGGTCCTTGCCAGGCTGACTTGAGATGCAAATGGAAACACTCAATTTCCAGTTAGTGTTTTTGACTATAGGAACCTGGTTGAGGAGGACCTGAAAAGAGTGAGACAAATCTTCCCTCCAGGCTGAGGAAAAAGATGATTGTGGGAGGGCAGGCTTTGCTCACCCATGCTCCATCCCGAGAGGATGGTCCTCATTTGTTTGAGAAATTCAATAGGAGGACACACACCCTACACGTGTGCTGTTACCTAGGGGGCCTGGAGCGACACTTATCTTGTTCTGAGGGTGGGGGTAAGGTGGAAGCCAAGGCTCTCTGGTACTCTCTTCTGGCAGGAGTACCTAGAAGACTCAGTAGCCCCGGGAGGTGTGTGTGTGTGAGAGTGCAAAACAGATTAGGTCCGAAGGCTAATATTGAGAATGGAATCTGAAGGAAGAGCTACTGTGGAGAAGACTAGGTCCTGGCATAGGCTTTGGAAAGAGGTGTCCTCGAGTAACGGTACTGACTCTTGGCGTTTGTGCCTTCGCGGATGACCCAGAGGTTCAACAAAGCTGCACTCTGCTCCAACAGCGAGTTGGGGTTTTCCACGCGAATCCTGTTGATGTCTTCCACGCTGAACTGCAGCTCCCGGGCCAGCTCTGCAAGCAAAGAACCAAGACCGGGTGTGTGAGCCGAGCCAGAGCTGGGCCCTGTGGGCTGGGGCATCTGGTGGGGGCACCTCTGGATTGGGTATCCTTCTTACCAGGAAATGACAAGTGAAATGCAGACACCTACGTTTTTGTATCCCCAGAAAATGGGGCAGAAGTAGGGGTGCTCAAGAAATAAGCATTGAATGAATGAACAAATGCCCTTTTTTCCTTTCATTACTTCAGGTATAAGAGGATGAGACAGCCTCTTAGCAAGGTCAGAGACTTATCCAAGGTCACAGAAGAAGCTGGTGCAGAGCCAGGAGCAGGGCCCCACTCCAGTGCTGTCTGTACTATACCAGGGGGTCGCTTACATTCTACCAAGAAGCAATCAGAATGGAAATGTATTTCTGTATTTACATTTCTTCAGGGAAAGGCATTATTTACATTATAAATGAAAATACAAGTTCCCATGTAAATGCAAGGCAATAACACAGAATGTTCGCTTATTTTCCCTCCCATTATTTTTATTGCTATTTCTCACAGGTGCTTTAAAGGGAAAAGAGCATGAGAGTCTAATTTCAAGGATGAGAAAGACTAGAGGGAAAGTAATAGTGAGAACCAGAATGTGCATGCAACACACACACACACACACACACCCTAAGGAGCAGCATTAGGCATTCTTTTTGGCTTAAAGAATGAACACAGTCTCTGAATTTCCATTGTGAGCCTCTGTCACACTGCCCTTCAGCAAGTTCTTGCTCAGGTTTCTGAGTTTGCCTGAAGCCCTCTCTGCAGGTGACTAAGTGAGGGGAGTCCATTCATACAAAAGCTCACAAAAACGGGGGTGGGGGGGAGAATTAAGTTGCAGGGCCTGTGGCTTCACTTTATTTTGCCCGCTCCTCACTTCAAACGTGATCAACTGTTATTGTTAACAAGACATCTGGTAGACTTCAGCTACTGCTGGAGATTATAAATGAAAAATGCTGAGACTTAACCTTTAATTCCCCTTTTCCCTCAGCAATGACAGCTGTGAGGAAAGGCAATGAGAAGCATGTAGGAGGCAGTGGTCAGGCAGCCAGGTAATATATCTTTTGTTTAAGTGTTTGTTATTTGTGTACTAGGTTTTCTGGGTTCTGTCACTAACTAGCCACATAATAAAAGTCACTCTATTTAGCTGGATCTCAGTTTTCCCATCTGTAAAGTGAGATGAACTAGATCAATTCTAAGGTCTCCTGTAATGTCAGATGTTGATTCTTTCTTACAAAGGAAAACCAGATCGAAATGGGGGAGGGAGCACCTGCCTTTCTATTGGCCCCCAAAGGCATTGCTTGGGCAACAGACTCATCTAAGACAATCACAACACAACTCATAGTAAAAAGAGGCTCAGAAATGCTTTCATCAGTTGCTCATTAGGGGGAGGTGTACACAGGCTAAGTGCTTTTCTACCTCAAATTCCCCAACTCACCTGCCCAGCTGAGACCAAGGTGTTCTGATATAATAGCCATCTTCATATCTGCTCGGTCTGTCCCACTGAGAAAACCTAGGGGGAAGCATTGGATTTCATTTAGTAGCCTCGGCAGGACACAGAATCGACAGGGGTGAGTAAATGATCTCAGATGGATGCTCAGGTCAGGTGGTAGCCTCAGTGTATACCCGATTGATTGCTAATCCTGTAAGGGTCAGGTGGAGATCCAAGCCAAAGGCTCCACCTGCTGTGTTTATAACACGCTGAGTCAATCATATCAACTCAGAGCTGTTGTCAGGGTGAGAGAAGTGAGCTCACTCACAACCTCCGTGGGCACATAGCATGACAAAGCATATACCCAGTGTGGATTCGCTGAGGATGCTGTATCTCAGGGCCAGTGGTGTCAAAGTCCTTCTCCTGTCATCGGTGCTGCTCCCCTGCAGAAGGAAGACAAAGAAAGGGTGCTTTGGGGTTTAGACTCTCCCCCTTCTTGGAGAAGGTGATTAGAGCCAATGGGCTATGGGGTGGAGAATGCCAGTCCTGGCAAACAGTAAGGACTCCACTTCTTTGGGGCATGAACACAAAGAGTATTATTAGTATGGGAGTGAGAGGGAGTTGAGGAGCCTCACATACTTTAATAATAATAATAATAATAATAATAATAATAAT